GGTTACTTGCGAACTCAAGTATTTCCTATCAGATTGCAAGGAACTTGAGCCTTTAATTGGATTGGTTCAGGGTTGGCTTGCTATTCGGCTTTGTTTAGAATTGTATTTGATTTAAGCTTGTACTAATTTGGTTCTGCATAAGATTTCAGCCCCCTGTTTCCATCGCATGAGTTATGGATCTCTATTAATATTACAAATGTTCTCATGTAAAGAGTAGTATATGTATTGTTAATAATCATAATGCAATTCATTGACCTCCTACAAACTACAAAGCATCTATAACACATACCGACAAAAAAATCATCTAGGGATGAATTTCATCTCATGAATATTCTTTTTACAATATATTAAATACAGAAGATAATTCGCAATTACAAAATGAATTCCCATCTCATCTTGTAGAATAATAATATGTATGGGATAATATTTGAAAATGGAGAAAGAATTAGAATTTCAGTTTAAAACCAAAATTGAGTATGGGATAATATTTGAAAATGAACATCTAATAGAAACTGAGTATCTTCTTAAATATGAAACTGAAACAATCATGCAAATTATCACTAATAAATTAACTGAACAATCTAATAATTAATTTCTAATGAAGTATCTAACAAAATTTTCTCTACAAATTAAACTGCGACTAGCTTTATTTTGTTCCAGGTTCCTTGATCCACAAATTTAGAACAAAAAATTTATAGGGATAGTTAAACTGCGCTAATATTTTAAATGAGTTACTAATGATAATTGCCTTAAAGAAAATTTGAAATTTAAAACTCCATGGATCTAGACAAATATAAAAATTTATAATTCATTATGACTAATTTTTTAAGTCAATTGAGTAAATTTTCTTTAACTATGTTAGTCTATATAAAAACATCATATTAAATTTTCTTTAGAATCACACTTTTTAGGGATTAATTGGGGGTCTTTAATAGCATCCATTAGGAAGCAAATTACCATAAAAATTTCATTATTTTTCTTCTATTATATCGGTCATTTACAGATTTACTTCATTTGCATTACAATATTGACGGAAAATTGTATGTCTATAGCTGATGTGAATAAGCAATACATAAAATTCAAATAAAGTGATAGAATAATGTTATGTCTAAATCCTGAAAGTTTTCATATATAAAACAAACCTTTAAAAAAGCAGGGCATATAAAAAGGTGGCAGCTTTTTCCTTGGTCTCTTTCTGTCCTCTAAAATTAGCTTATTGCTTGGGAGACTAACGTTTTCTCATGACTAATAGAAAAGATTTAAATATAATCAAGACGGTCAAAATTAATGTAGCACCTTGGCTAAAATGCAATTTTCACAGTTAAGTTCTCATCACGCAAGCCATTGCTTTCCTTACATTGTAATGCACCTTCTTCCTTTTCTCCTCAACATTAGTTTTGGTAGGGGAATGTTTGCCAATTTTTCATAGAAGACTATAAAGTGCTTGTATAAGGTTCCCGAATCTGATGCAATTACTGAATGATTCAACAATTATTCTGGAAATATATCTAAACCTTCATATAACTGAATCATCACACTAAATTTTAGAATAAAAATAACTTTCTAATTTAGACCTCACCAATGAAAATGTATCTATCATGGCAAGAATATTAAGGAAATTAGTCAAGTTATGAGTGGTAAAATGCAACGAACCTAGTTGATGTGCTAATATTCAAACATATAAATCCCTGACAATGAGAATAAATTTTAAGTTATCAGGATTACTTAAACCTAAGAGTATTATATTTAATCAAAAGAACTATAATAAAATAATCTAATAATAAGTGGTGCTAGTTTACACTGCATTTGGTTGCTGCATCAGTGCATCTATATGTCATTATATGAACTCATCCTATTCCCCAAAAAAAGTAGAGTTCATACAAAAAGAACTTACTCTTGCGAGATAACAAAGACTCCCACAAGCGTGTTGCTTTAGAAACCAACAAGGAATTCTGAACAGAAGAACTTGAGATACGATCATCCCACAGTTCGCCATCCAGCTTAGCTTTATTTCTGATATCTTGCAGCTTTTCTAATTCTTGCTTCAAATATGCCTTGAAATAGCAGTTGGAATGATAAATAACATGATTTTACTACATTTTATCCGCAACATAACCAGAGAAGACAAGAAAATGCAGTAAATGAGTTGAAGCATCAACTCCAATAGCTGGACCACCATGATGCACATCATGAACTGATTTTAGAAAGAAATGGTGACTACCTCTTCCGCCGAAAGTTCACGAAATTCAGCAGTCATTTCATTAGACAAGTTTGACCACGTAGCTTGCCTTTGATCGGCAACATTTGCATTTTTTAGAAACTTTCTCCTCTCAAGAGCAATCCTAGCCTGTATAAAAAGCAACGGGAGATAGTAGAAAATAACCAAAAAGATTTGACATGCACTGCACATATCTTTTAACTTAGAAAAGTAATAAAAGTGAAAGGATTCGGCAAAACGAGTGATGGAAGACAGGAAAAAAAAAACTGACTAGCCTTGACCTGCACTACACATGTCATTATTTAGAACAAAATAAAATAAAGAGAAATTGATGCGGACATCCAACGTTGAACGCTTATCTGTAGAAGAGACGAAGATCAACGGCCGAGATCATTCAACTTTATCTTATTTTACTAATTGTATTTTTTTGTTTTATTTATGCATTTTTCGTTTTACCCTCACTCGAGGGAGTAGTCCTATGTAAGCCCTAGGGGCATGTTTATTTATTTTTAGTTTCTTTAATTTCGAGACCTATATATAGAGGCCATTGTTATTTTATTAGGATGATGGGTTTTTAATAAAACAAAATTTCTGCACTCTTGTTCTTTGGGGAGAACTTTGATGAGATCCCTATGTGAGGGAAGCATAGTATCCACCAGCCGCAGGAAGTGTTTGGGCTCGTGGTTTGAAGTCCCTAGGTGAGAGCAGCGTAGCACCCATCAGCCGCAAGAAACGTCCGGACTCATGGTTTATCTTTCTTTCTCTAAACTCCCCTTCTCCTTCTCCATTGACCGCCGGCCAAACCCCCTCCATAGCTGCCGGTCAAGAACCCCTCTTCCCCTCCTCTAATTGTCAGCCACTTCTCCCACTCCTACCAACCGCCGGCTTCCAACCTCTCCACCTCAATCCCAAGTTCCGGACCATCCTTAGCCATCGGCCACCCTAGCCCAAACCTTAGCCGCCGGCAAGCCCTCTCCTAACCCTTGTTTCAAATTCATTTGGCCTCATAAACACCTTCCTAAAATATCTTATTATTAATTTGGAAAGTCTATGAATTTGAATTCAAATGATATTTGAAATTCAAAAACTGTCCTAATTAGTAAATCTCTTTTAGGAAACCCCCCAAATCTCTCCCAATCCGAAATTGATCGGAATTAATTCCAATTTCCATGTTCATTGAACCTAGACACATTCATTGAATGTGAACAACTCCTCCCCCTCCTCTCTCCCCCCTACTCTCTAGGCCAGCCCCTCCCTCTCTCCAATTAATTCCCCCCCCCCAATTAATTACCCCATTAATGCTTTCCTAATTTAAAGTTTTTAATTGAAAGATCCTTACGAATTTGAATTTCAAAAACTTTCCAAAATTAAAACAACCCCATTTTAGGAACTCACCCAATCCCAATCCCCCTTGCCTCTAAAATTCAAACCTCCCTCATTACTTTCCTTTCTCTACACAACCTCTTTTGGAAAGCTTTGATTTAAATTATTCAATAAACTTTGAATTTTGAAATACTTCCTAAAATAGACAACCTATTTTAAGAAAGTTCTTAAATCAAGTTCAAATCAATTTCAATTTGGATTTTATTTAAATCCTTTTTCTCAATTAAAGGTCCTTGATTAGGCAAGCTTTAAACTCACCCCCCCTAACCATATGCCACCTCACCAAGCCGCCGGCCCCCTCCTTTCATCTCTCTTTCTCTCCTTCCTCTTTGTTCTTTCCTGGATTAGCTTACCTCCAAATTCGAATTCAAAACTTGAAACTAAATAACCCCCTCCTCCAATCTACATCAGAAACAGAACTCTGAAAATCCATATTCACAATATGAATCAATTATTTACTTTTGTGCAGCAGCTTTCAATTAAGGATCATAGTTAAAGGAAAATTTGTCCAAGTATATGCAAAATATGCAACAAGTGAAAAATCAAACAAGATGGCTGCACCTACTGATTACAGTAAATAGAAAAATAGAAAACAAAAAGTCTCGAAGAAATAAAAAACATAAATCGATCAGTTAAACTACCTTCGTTACTGGAAGTAATGCAGCAGCATTCAGATAAGAAAAATCTGTCAGTGAAGCAGGAAGTGGGTTAGAGGATACATCGGAAGAGAAAGTCCTCCTGTGGACCTCCCTCAGAGCATGCACAGAAAGCTGCCACAGAAGCTCTACAAATCTGGTTTTGGAAAATATGGATCAGAGCTTATACTAGCAACAAAACCTAATATACATCAAGAAAGGGAAAAGGCACGTCAAAAACAAAGATGAATCTTGAAACTTTTTTGTGTAATAGCACTATTAAAAAAAATAAGAGTTGATTATCTTAAACTTTATTCAGGATTGCAGTTACTTTAAGTACGTGAAATGATAACAATGAGTCATCAATGCCTTTGGTGGTCTCTTTGAGGCTCTAGCATCTACCCATTTGCAATTACACTCTTTACATTCTGGCTGATTTTTTATTTAATTTTGTAAATATCTCTACCATGAGACATAAAATAAAGATGCATGAAGGGGCCCCTGTTGACCCCCACTCTAGATTCACCCGTAGGCACAAAGATTACAAGGTAGGAATAAGCAAATATTGTGTATCATTCTGATAAAAAAGCCTGCCTTCAAAAATATAATCAAAATATCTTATAGAAACAAATATAGTATGAGTAAGATCATGAAGCTGAATAAGAAAGTTTTTTGCTTATAAATGTATTCAGTCGCAATCCATAATTATAATATATGAGAATTATCAGCTAATCATATTAACAAGGTCAGACATATATATTTGCAAACTACAGTGCAGCTTTTTGCCAAGCAGCATATAATAATTTAGTGAAATATCAGGGTACGGCACATAAAAGAAGATCTTTAAAATAAGAAAACTACCCAATAAAATGCTAAAATCATAACTCTTGATATGTCGCCAAAAAATTCATCTTGGTCGCCTGGTCGGGCACGAATCTCGATGCAAATATGAGTTGAAAACTTCAAAAGTTAAATTCAAGATCACCCGAACTCCGATTTCAACAAAATTATAATCAAATTGATCATCTCAGGGAGACGAACCCAATGACACCAAATTCACCCCAATCTAAACCTAAATCAAATACCAAAGCCTACTTGAATGTGATGCGGACATCGCTCTCCACCCTCTCCCATAGAAAATTCTGAAAATTTCAGATTTTCTGAAGTGACATTTCAGCTTTTGTGAGGAGACACTTGGAGATTGTCCACTTTCCATAACAAAGCATTTTTCGTTCTACATCAGAATGCTTTAGAGCGTTAATTAGATTATCAAATGATGTCCAATTGTGACATGCTTATAGTCAAATCAAGCGGCTCTACAAGATGAATCCAACGAGCCCAATATCATCTAAGTATGACACCGTTATGATATATAAAGACACTGTTATGATATATAAATATTAAAAAAGTATATATATGATCGAGGGATATGAATCAACCATCCAATGAAATACTCCAAACTTATCCTTGATCTTCTCCATATTTACTATTCCTGCCACCTTAAAAAATTATAATAGACGACTAGTGCAACTCCAAAAGAGCAGCTTTCCCCAGACCCCTCTAGTAATTCGAATCAGAAGCCGGCACCATAACGCTATAAATGCAAACGGATGAAATAGAGCACTGACCTCGGTCCACAACAAGTAGCAAGCGCTGAAAGCCTCGCGTTGTTCCTCGGGAGAGCCCCTTTCGATTCCAGATCACTTATAATACCTTGCACAATCTTATGAACACCAGAAAATAACCGACTTGAGTCAAGCAATACCAAACAAAGAACAAGAGGGGCTTAAAACTTGAATCTACCTTGCGGAAGTCGCGGGACTGGGCTGAATCGGAGATCGGCCACACCCTATCGAAGTCCTGCATAATCGGGATGCCCCGATTTGTAAAGATGAGAAGTCGAAGTAGAAAAGAACAATCCGATACAGAACAAAAAGAAGCGAGATTAATCGAGTTCAGGGTGAGAACAATAATTGCCTTTGCGGATTGGACAGGACCCCTAAGAGAGGAGAGGAGGAAGTAGAGAAGCTTCTCGCCCAATCTAGGGTTCGAATGGCGGAAATGGCCGACCCCGCTGTTCCACTCATCCCCGCCGACGCCGATGATCGCCGGATCTAATCCCAACAACAGGCAATTAGTGTACATTGCGCTCTCCAACTCTGACTCTCTCTCCTTCTCTCGATCCATCGCCATGGCAAGACCTCTTCCTCCTCTCTCCCGTTCTGTGGAATTTGGAAACGCCGGCTACGTGTCGTTTTTATCAACGTCATTTTAACGCTCTATTTGCGTTATGTGCCGGCGGGAACCTGTTTTTAATTTTTTATCACCTGCCCGTCAACATCTTTGATTGGGCAGGTCCGGATTTGACCTAGGTAACATTGATTAAAATTTGGATGTAATGGAGTTGACTGATCCTATTCATGTTTATGTTAAGGAAAAATTATTAGGTGCGGAGTGCGGACGGGATGAGAACCGTCCGCACAGACACAGGGTACCAAGCGGTACCCAGTGGTACCGAACTGTATCGAGCGCGGTTTTATACTAGTGTGCGGACGGTTCTCCCGTCCGCACTCCGTACGTAATAATTTCTCTTATGTTAAGGGCCATGTTTTACTTTGGCTTCATTTTTTTAAGAAAAATCTTTAGTATTATATTAAACTACATATGATAGTGTGATAAAGATGAAATATAATTTAAAATATAAATATACATTTATAATACTATCAACCAGAAGGACTATTTCTTCTTAGATTTACTTTTATGTCTTTTGCCACCACTACTTGAGACAGTATGAGCAACACCGCAGACCGCCTTCAAACTATACTGT